CTCCATCACTCCAGTCCCTGCCTCTGTCTTCACACAGCCTCTTCCCGGTGTCTCTGTGTTTGCTCTCTTTTTGTTACAAGGACACTGGTCACTGGACTCAGGACCCCTCCTGCTGCAGTATGACCCCACCTCAACGAATTATATCTGCAAAGACCCTGTTCAAATAAGGGCACATTCTGAGGTTCCAGGTGGACATGAACTTTTGGAGGAACACTGTTCAGTCCCACTCGCACTCATCCATAGCCTCCCCGCTGCAACAGGCCCTTGACCTCACCCCACCCCCAGCCCAGCGGGGTTCAGATACAGGCTGAGACCCTGTGTGTGGCCACTCTGCCAAAGACAGGTCTTCACTCTCCAGGGTCTCCGTTTCTGCTGCCTACCCAGTACTGGGCCTCGCTACCCAGGGAGACAGGCAGGGCCTCCTCTGGGCAAGTCTTCTGGGCTGCCCTGGGGGAGAGGATTAGGAACCCTCCCACACCCCACAGCGACAGCGCTAGGGGGACAATTCCTACCGTGCTCTCCCCGTCCCTGTGACTGGTCAGGCCAGGACAGCTGGGGCCTTTGCCTCAACTTCCTCAGAGTGCCGGACCACTCCTAGGTCCCCCAGGGCCAGGTGCCCAGCAGGGTCAGAGGTCTCGCAAGAGCCAGACCTACACAGGAGCGCGGCCACTCCCTGACTGACCACAGCGGGTTCTCACTCATCTTTGGGGGTCATCTTTTGTGGTCTTGGGCAAGTCACTTACCATCTCTGATCTGAACAAAGAGAAATGATAACAGTGCCTGTCTTACAGGGCTGTAAAGAGCATGTGCCCATCTGTCTGCTCCGTACACGCCACAGTGGTCTCTCCGCGCAGACGTCCCATTTCCAACGGCTGTCTGCACTCACAGCAAACACGATGATTGTTTCCAGGGGATAAACAAGCAGGGGTCATTTTAATAGTACCAATGCCAGCTGGATATTAAAACAAAAGTGTTTGGATGTTCCACACAAGTAACCGGCAGATAAATCTGGGCCACACTCCAGCCCTGGCAAACTCCATCTCCACTGGAAAGATTCGAGAGAACGCAGAGAAGGGGGCACAGCCCCTTGCAGGTGGATCTAGGAAGCAGACTAGTGTCAGGCTGCACGTTCCAGGGCCTTCTCCATGGGCCCTGTTCCACGCTGATTCAACGCACGGGCCCCAGGCACAGGCCCCAGGCAGGGTGTGCTGCGCGCCTCAGTTTTCAGCCCTCACTGTGAGCACCCACTGGAACCGGGAAAAACTAGATTCCTGAGCCCCAAACCCAGGGGCTCTGTTTTGATAGATTTTAGGAAGGACCCGGATCAGAGTTTAATAAGCCCCGCAGCTGATGGGGCCACATGGGGAGAGAGAACGCAGAGTAACAGTAAGAACGCAGCCTATGGAGCCAGCCCTGCTCAGGCTTCTGCTCCATCTTAAACGCCGTGTGGTCTTGGGCAAGTCACTTACCATCTCTGATCTGAACATAGAGAAATAATAACAGTGCCTGTCTTACAGGGCTGTAAAGAGCATGTGAGGACAGACATGAAAATTGCTAACAGGGGAATTGTAAAAGCGCCTCAAGAGTTCTCAGTGATGCCCTGGCTGGTTTTGCTCAGTGGTTAGAGCATTGGCCCAAGCACCAAAGGGTTATGGGTTTAATTTCCAGTCAAGGGCATATGCCTGAGTTGCAGGTTCAATCCCCAATCCCAGAGGGAATGCATGCGGGAGGCAACCAATCGATGTGTCTCTCTCACGTGGATATTTCTCTTCTCTCTCTCTCTCTCTCTCTCTCTCTCTGTCTGTCTCTCCTCCCCCCTCCCCAACTCTCTCTAAAAAATCAATGGGAAAAAAAACCTTGGGTGAGGATTAACAAAAAAAAAAAGAGAGAGAGAGAATAATACTAGGAAGGAACCAAGATGGTGGCATAGGTTAATGCCTATACTTGCTGCCTCCCACAACCACATAAAAATTACAACTAAAATACAGAACAACCCTCATCCAGAACCGCGGGAAAGCTGCTGAGTGGAAGTACTACAACTAGAGAGGTAAAGAAGAAAGCACACTGAGACTGGTAGGAGGTGTGGAATGGGCTGGGCTGGCACCCGGGTGTGCCGCTTTTGTAATCGGGAGGGAGATTGCCTCTGCAGAGGCTGCCCGGAGGAGCGAGGGTTCCCAGCCCCACACCAGACCCCCAGCCCAGGGTTCCAGAGGTGGGGAAAGACGTCCATACGGGCTATAAGAACTATGGGCTGTAAAAACCAGTTCAGATTGGGGGTGAGTGACACAAAGGCTGCTAGAAATCTTAAAAGGCTGGCACCATGAACTGAATTTACAAGGTCCTACTTCCTCTGAGCTCCAGTGCCCAGAGAGGCTCTGGGGGACCCAGACACATACCAGGAGAAACTGGACTGTTTGGCATTGGGGCAGGAACTTGGGGGCGGCTTTCTTCCAGACGGAGGTGCTCGCAGCGGTCACTGTTCCTGTGCTGGGACCTCCCCGGTGCATGGCTGACTGGCAGCCATTTCTGTTTGCTCCACCCTGGAGATTCCCTGAGACCCCACCCCACCCAATTTACAACCCCACTCAAGCTGTGGGCAGCGGCTTTTGCATATGAATGGCCTATCCTGTCTCAGCCTAAAACCTGTCAAACAAGCTGCAGCTGGGTCAGGGAGCCCCAAAGCTATCAATAAAAGGCCCAAGACCAGCACCAGCATGCAGTACTTCACAGCTGGGCCTTTCATGGACACTTCCAAACCTGATACAAAGAAGAGGAATCTGAAGATCTTTCTGTAGCTCCTGCTGGGTGGCCCCAGGCTGTGGCTGACTTTGCACCTCCCTGGAGACCCACGAGGCAGTGCACCCAGTGGTCAGTGTGAGACCATACCAGATTACAACTCTACACATCCATAAGTGACACACTCAAGGGACAGACTCAGTGAGCACCAAAGCCACACTGAAGCAAGTCCTTTTCCTTAAGGGTGTCTCCTGCACAGCAGCTCTCCCACTGTAGTCGCAGCTGGTCCCCACAGCCAATTGGCCTGGAAGTCAATTCCTCCCAGTGACACCAATAGCAATCAAGGCTCAACTACAACAAGATTGTGCACACAGCCCACAAAGGGGTGCACCAAGAGTGTCCACCTCAAGTGATTGGGGAGGCTGAGCCATTGGGCCCTATAGGACACCTACTACACAAGACCACTCTATCAACTCAAGGACAATTAGCAGCTACCCAATACATAGAAACAAACACAGGGAAGCAGCCAAAATGCAGAGACAAAGAAACATGTCAAAATGAAAGAAATCAGAAAACCCTTTTTACGAAGATGGCGCCGAAAGCTAAGAAGGAAGCCCCTGCCCCTCCCAAAGCCGAAGACAAAGCAAAGGCTTTGAAGGCAAAGACAGAAGTGTGGAAAGGGGTCCACAGCCACAAAA